AAATACAGATTATCTACTTCTTAAAAATATAAATGATTAATGACTGTATTATTCTATGATTTTTATATGTAAAACTGATTTGGCAAGAATATGTTAATATTGACTAGAAGTTAAAATATTAAAATACTTATTATTAAAAAAATATTTTTTGATTACAATTAACTCGTCGAGTACCGTATTTATAGACACAATTAAAGAACAATAGGTTGCGGTCACCGGTGACCGCTTGGTGTTTGACAGTTTAAATAGTGAACAGGTATAAATGTTTGTGTTAACAGTCTTGTAATATAAGTAACGAAATTGTAGTTTTATAATTTCACAAAATTTCTTCGAGAATAGAACACATTCAAAATGAGAGTTAAATGTGTTTGTGCCTCACACTGTACTTGCAAATCTTGTGCCACATCTAAAATACGTATTTTCAATCAGAATAACTTTATAAAAATGCTTAACAAGAATATATCCTGTAGATAAAATAGAAATAACAGTATATTTCAATAATTAATAAACATTAAAAGGTTGAAACAGTAAAAACTGTTTTTTTTCTCAATTCATGTCTAAATTCAAAATGAATTTTCAAACTAGTGAAATAATGGGACTGAAGCAATATACTGGCTAAAGCACAACACAAAAGCTTTATAAGTATATTAAAAATATTTAAAAAGTTAGCCAGTCATCATATTTAGGCTTACACTCAATATTATAAAACTATATTGCAAGGCTTTGTCTAGAATTGCCTTTAAATAATGGCCTGCAATAGCACAAAATACTTATTACTATCCTCCTTGCTTTTTATTCAAATTTAAAAAAACTTGTATGTTTTTCAATTTGGCATTACATCTTAGAAAATGCAAATGCCTGCAATTCCATAAACAATTTATGAGTCATGAATTTTGAATGGATATGAAATTCAAACAGAATGATGTCATAACATTAATATTATGCTAATATAGTCATATCTTTGGTCTTATTTTAATCTTATCATGTAAGATGAATCTCTGGCTTTATCACTTAATTATTATTTGTCACTGAAGGCAGTATAATTAGGATAACAGTTGGTAAATAGGGATTATTTCTTAAAATACTCTTTGTATAAAATTTTGTGAACAATACTGGCCTAAAAATAGTGCTAAAGGCACTGTGTCCCTTGTGGAAGGTACAAATTGTTACAATATTGTACTTTTTAATCATATGAGGGTCCTCGACAAAGGGAGACTATAAACATAGATGCAAACACAAACTCTAGCATCTGAATGCAAAGCATTAGAGTACACCAGATGTACTCTATTCTCAGGACCACAACTTGGAAGATGAGGAGGTACATTACACCCATTATAGATGGCACTGTCAGTAGCACTGAGAATATTACTGGTAGATCTGGAAAAATATTAATTTTATCGTTTATTTTTATGCATATCACCCTGCTATAATTGGTATTTATACTTGATATTTTGATGATTGCATTCTAATGTGCAATTTATTATAATAAGATTTATACATAATTCAAGAATTATTATACCCACTAACCCACTTACCTTTCTCACTAAGACTTCCTTTACGCCCCAGTATAAGGCGGGCCGCTTCAATAATGAATAAGCCAACAAGTACTCCATAATCTCGCCCTATTTTCGTTGGATCCTTGTCTACTTCATATTTCTCAATAATTAACACCGACTTCAGAATAAGAGTACCCAGTTCACATGTCGCAAATAGACCGAAATAAAATGAATTTATGTATAGCAGAATTTCGTATGCTAAACTCGAATTAACCATTTTTAAGTACGTATATTATTTGTTTCTTTCAGTATATTTATTTGATTAATTAATAGAAACAAAGGAACTATCATAGGCACACACGATATTGTTATTTAGAAAATCATTCTACCTAAACCTATCCCGAAAAAGAAAATTATTTAAAAATAGAACTCTCAGCTCGGGAGGGGACAAAATAAAAATGACAATGACAGAAGTTTGTGATTGGAGGATGACAATTGATAGTATAAAAGAGTATTGCTAGGATACAAAAATATACACAACATTGATATCAGCTGGTTTAATCAGACTTCGATAAGATAATTAAAGTATCAGATAATATGTCGATTAAAGCAGCTGATCTTCATTAAATCCTCATCACCAATACAATTTTGCATTAACTAATCTTATCCTGAGTACGTCGATGACATAGTTCTATTCAATTACTTAATAAATGGCAATACTAACTAAAGTAAGTGCAACGGCCGACGCCAACGGGGGTGGTTGTGTTGCACGTGTTTTTGCTTTATACTGTAATGCAGTTGTTATGAATAAAAAACTTTAAATTAGGTTTAATAAGTGTCGGATTTATAATAACTGACTAACGTTACAGCGCCAGCAGTTTATGTTTTGGTGAGTGTTAAAAATTTAATGTGATGTGACCACGCGCTCAGTAGGGCACATTTTAAATTGTCTTTTTAGATTGTAACGGGATGGTATCTTTTTATTTAGTTTCTAAGTTTGTTGTGTAGTTAACTGTGACGGGAGAGTAGTATATTTTGTAACTCAAGTGATAAGTGGACGTGTCATAGCGGTAGAATGCCGTATTTTCTTATCTCATGAATGTGGTCTATAAGATACCAGTGTTTTTTTTTTATGAAAACGTTTAACCTTTTTCGCGCTGTAAGTTGACGATTGTAGAAGTACAGCTTTAGAAAGTTTGGTTCGCATTTTCTTATGTATTTTTATTGATATAATTACAAATGCCTTAGTTAAGGTTATCTCTAAGTTTACATATTGCTTATTAGGTTCCTACTAAAATTCTAAATTAAAATTATTGTGAGATAAATAAAATATATATCCAGGCTATGTGTATGAATTAAAAAAAAACCAAGTGGTATAAAATTATTCTGCATAAAACATGACTAATTTATAAAATTATCAAATATAGTATAGGTATTACCAATTTATAATTAGCTAATGATACATTTAGCAAATTAATGATGCTCACTCACTGATCAACCTCAGCATATAAATGAGTTGATTATTTAAACAATTTTTATTTGTTACAAACAATGATAGAAAAATGATTCAATGTCTGTAACATGATTTTTTTTATTTCTGGACACAAATTCCTTTCAAACTCATGAAGAATGTACCTTTGCCACCTATGCCATTAAGTAGAACAATATAAAAAAAAGGTTAATTTTTTCATTGCTCTGACACAGATCAGTTGCACATTGTGCCTATTATATTTCACACAAAGAGTTAATTAGTGATTCATGTAAGTACATTATAATGCCTTTCTTTGTACTTGCACATCATACACCATATTTGTCATATAAAACTAACCTACTTATCAACATGTTTTGTTTACAGAAACTAAACTAAAGGAATAACTTTGTTTTACAATAAACCCCACTTCTGTTAGCTCTTTGATAAATTAACTTACATAGTTTTATTTTATTAACCTGAACCTAATACTGAAAAAAGTTAGGAAAAGATTGTATACTATTATGGTTTTCCTAATTTATCTCATTAACTTGTTTTATTGTATTGCTAGTACAGCATGGTTTCACCTGCTGCTTGCCTCCTATTGATTGATGATGTTTTATAGCCTTCCTTGATAAATGCTCTATGCAACACAAAAATAAATATTCTAATCGAACCAGTAGTTCATAAGATCAGCGCATTCAAACAAACAAACTCTTGACATTTAAATAATTGTATAAAATATATAACTTTATCCTTATGAAAAATGTAGTTGAAAACTTTATAAACAAACTATACATAAGTTCATATTGTGTAACTATCATAAAATTACTACTCAAGTTTATCTAGTAACTATGTCTAATTATAATTGATAAAAATGTACTAGTAGCACTCAAATATTTATCTTTCTTATGATTTTTACACAATATTTTTGTGCGCAGCAAAGATAAAAATCGTAAATATCGTTTAATTTACAAACCGGATAAGACAAAGCGTACATTATAATAAAACTAGAGGTATAGTTCGATATTTCCTAATTCAGTGCTCCGAGGAAAAACACCGATACGAACTCGAGAGGTTATAGTCACTTTCAAAGTCCAGACCAGACATCAGTAAAAAAATAATGTGTGCATAAAACTAATGGTATAATGATTTAAGCCGGATATACGCCATTGAAACGAGACACGACGCGACGAAACGTTAACCATTTTTGATCGATCAGTTTTTGAGATGTCACACTCAGATTGGTAGAGCAATGGCATAATGGCATATTTTATAGATCAACAACACAATAGATAATGTTGAAGGTGTGTCCTTTTAAGCATATTTCAGTTTTATGAATAAAACTTTTTCAAAAAAGAAAAAAAACACCTAGAGGGATAAAGATTTATAAAGGATCTTGATTGCCTAGCCCCATAGCGGTAAATTCAACTGTTTTGAACAAAATAAATCGGCAAATATCATTAAACGTAGTTCTTATTATTGTGTGCCAGTAAATTAGCAAGTACTAGAAAATTGTACGTGTTTTAGAATGATTAATGCTTAGAAAACTAGTCTTTAAAACATTAGATACTAAAAATGTAAGTTTAATGATACTGTTTCGCTCGAATTATTTTTGTTCACATTCGTACGTTAGTCTTCTAAATTAATTACCAACTAAGTATGTATAAGAAAAATATATAAAAACGTGATATTAAATTTTATTATCTTTCGTTGATTAAGTACGGTCTGACATTGAACTAAATAATTACGCGTGACAAATGGCAAATATGGCTTCGTTGCGAGAAGATTGATTGTTTTTATCGCGCACTTAACAAACATCAATATTTAAAGTTAAAATATTTACATTACAGTCCAGTATATCTTAAACAAAATTAAACGCAGTTGCACTTTGTAAAATACAGCACAAAACACTCGAGAGTTTAAAGACCAGCTCTTAAAAATACTAATTTTGTCTACAGACGCAGTCGTCCATTGCGTCGACGAAGAACACAGATGCCAGTATCAGTTTTATGATATTAGTGTACCTGTGAGCCATGGAGATGTCACACCAGGGTGGGGCGGAGGGCGAGAGCCTCCTGAGGCAGGAGAGGGGAGCCGTCGTCATGCCTGGCCAGAGACAAGGACGTAAGTACCTTTTTCAATAATAGGTATGTGTTTAGACGTTGTGTGAGTCATTTAGGCTTAATAAGAGGATGAACATGACCATAAAGGAGATTTCAATATAGTAAAACCTTTGTTTTTATCAAAACAGACAGCCTTTTCACGCGCTGCTAATAGTTGTGATCTTTTAAAAAGAATCTCGTTTCGAATCATCGTGACATAGTTTCTATAATGTATTTACTACGATGAAACTGTTTCAGATACATTATGCATATTTGAACTAGGTATTTTGCTTCAACAATGTATTATTTATTGCATATTTGAAACCACTATCTTGCGGAATCGTTTCCCGTCCGATAACACTGATAATCCCCTTTCCGTTTACCGTGACCCCTCCATTATAATGCGGGAACTTCTTTGTGCCAATACTTCAAAGAAAACATCAAGATCTGATTCATATTGTAATCGCGTCCTATTTATTCAGTGCATTCGTGAATGCACGCTCATGTGACTACGTCTGCCAAAGACACGCGCGAAAAATGATCTCCAAGAAACTTCGAATCATCGCTAAATCTACATTTTAAGGTCATTTCATTAGCGGTACTGTGCTAATTTTGTCGTGATTTGACCTTGAAGATGATTTAATGATCGATTGCAAACTACATGGACGCTTTTCGTACATTACGATGATATCGGTGATTAGTGAACCAACCTTCTAGGCTTTTCTGAATTAATTGCCTATAGGTCTTACTTTGTCCTTACCAATGGCGGTCATGTCATGATCGACCTTTAACCATGCTCAATAATGATTGGATAATTAGAAATAATCATTTTCACAATGTCTTCGATTGCAAAGATCTTTCATTGTCCATTATACAGACTGTGAACCTAAAACACGAATTTTTATTTGTATCTTCACTTCAAACTCGCGTCTCTTTCCGATTGTAAAGAAATGAAAGAAAGTCGTGTAAAAAATAATGAAATATGCACGAAAAGAAAAAGAAGTACCTATGAAATCCCATTTGGAAAGTCACCAAAAACTAATATAGATAGTCGACAAAAAATCGTTCGCGGATAGCTATAAATGGTCCACAAGTTTGCTTTCTAATAATGTAGGTGCTTCATAAAAATGCTATTTGGTTTACCCTATAAATATGTACGTGTTGGTATGGCAAACCCAGAAACGATATTTGGACAAAGCTTTTATTTGCATACTAAAAGTACAATGAACGTTTGCACATTATAGTCTGAGATATCTGAATGCCAAAAATACTAGCAGTGCCGAAATGAAAGATAATCTAGATAATGTTTCTATCTACTATTCTAAAACAGGGTACCTATATGAAGTGCATTACAGTTAAATAGAATATAAATGTTTGCGGTCAAATTGAAAAATATATGTATCACAGAAAGTGGCGATCAGGCAGTTGTGCCGCATTTACTTTTTTGCTGACTCATAATAGTGTCGCTAACGTGACCCCATTAAGAACTGCTTTGACCTATTTCCTTAACATAAATATTATAAATCGAATAGTGACTTCAGAGTATTTTAAAAGCACTAACTCAAAATTGCCCCAAAGTAAGACTTCAGTAAAGCAAAAATTCCTAAAGTAAAAGTTTTTACATAAAGCTTCTATAAGGAAACTTTGCTTTTATTTGCCGGCACTATTTCTTTTGCTCTTATAAACTCGGTTTATGCCTATCCTTTTCTTTTGAGTTATTGATTCATTTCACATGTGTGATAAAGTATTTGTTCTCTTTTAACTCAAGAGTCTAAAAGACCGCTTATCTCGAATGATGTATTTGTTTCCTATTTGAGATCATCTTAGATTTTGTCGGTAGTAGGTATCTACCTAGTATAGCCTTTATTTCAGGACTGTGCTCAATTCTTGTTTCATAAATCTTAACAAAGGTAATAAATAAGTGTCCTTCCACGTCTATTTAAGTTAAAACAGATATTTTCTTGACACCATTACAGTTTAAACGTCTTTAGAATTCAACACGCCATGTTTATGATACTCTCAGTCTTTGACTAAAGACTATTCAATGATGCTTACTATACGATTAGTCGTACACACGTGTATTGCGAACAATAGGTCATCTTTTATTAACAAATGTCTCATGTAAAGTGCATGTTTAGCCTTACGATGCATATAGATGCAACTAGATTTTCTGTGGCATAAGTTAAACCTAATTTGAGCTGTGCAATGCGGATATAGTTGCTGTCGTTCCTGTTCACTCGTTGTCATCCGAAACTTGTTTGAAATTGCACATTTTGGCTAAAGAAGTCTTTGTGGCTAGACTAGAATACCACATTAATTCAATGAACACACGGCGATCGTTCGTTGAACCGACAATGAAGTACAATTTTTACAAAGTCCCCAAAAATCTTAATCACCTACAAGATATTTTTTCTGCATCATCATCAGTATATTTCCTGCATATGTTTTGCACGTGCACATGTCTCCATTATTCAAAACATTTTAAGTCCATAATTTTAACGCTTGGTTTCGAATGACACATAACTCGTTAAAAATAATACTTTGTTTACTTACGTACTGTGCATATGCCTCCGATTGTTATGGTCATCAAACATTAATGATTATGAAAGAATACATACATAAACTGTTTTCAAATACATTATATTGTCTCTCAAAATACGATTTCAGTCATACCTACTTTATCATGGTCTGATAAACTGGGTCCGTTTACGACTATGGGCTTGCCTCCCTCACACATGGAACTTATAGCTAGCTAACAGTGGGTGTTATGAACATAAATGCCTCCTTCGTGAACCGAAAGGCAAAGCTATGTATGTAAACAATAAAATAATCATTAACTCGTCGAGTACCGGTTTTATAGACACAATTAAAGAACAATAGGTCGCGGTCACCGGTGACCGCTTGGTGTTTGACAGTTTAAACCAGTTTAGTACACCCACTTGTGCAAGTGTCTCCTCTCCAAAGATGTCACTGGACTGTGAGATGTCTCTACTACTCATTACGGCACATCCGATGCTAACTGTTTAGTATTTCCTTATTACTAGAGTATAAATTGCATGCTATGGCTTATAGCATGCCAAGAAAGTGAGTAGACCAACTTGATTGTTGTTGTGTTATTGTCAATACAATACAACATATTGTATTTGTTATAATATGTACATTGCGTAGTTACATTCATTTTTGTATGCCTGATCGGTCGAGTGCTTGAATATCAGGTCGATCCCTGCATCGTAAAACGTTTTCAAATTCAAATGTGTGTTTTATAAATAAGGCACAACTCAGCGTGGTATCTTTAGGTGCTCTGAGTGGTTTCTGACGCAGAACACGTCTTAATCAAAGCTTTGATTTAAAGTTGATAAAATCCATAAATATGGTAGTTGCTATAACAAGTTGTAATCGGGACTTAATAAAACATTAACTTGATAATTCCAAGCAAGAAAGGGTTTTGTGAATTGACTTGCGGCTTTAAGCAATAAAGGGAACTGTGCAATGCAATTCCTGATTCAAAAATGTCATTCAACACCTTGTAACCACGACGGTATATTTGCAGAACAGAAACGTTTACGATCAACCTCGTTTGTTAGAAACTGAGACTGCGAAAACGGTATTTATTTATAGCAGTAACGACTGTAGAATAGTTACTACAATGTGCTATAGAATTCATAAGTAACTAGAATATTTGATCATCTGATGAAAACGTCACAAGTCATGTTCAATTAGCGTCGGATCGCGAAAAAGTTGGTTACGTCAAAAACTTGTTAGTATCAATAGCATCTTGATTTTCAGTTCAATAGTCGTAACATCTGTCATTAAACCATCTTCTCATGTAAGTAATATGTGTACTTATGTGACTAATGGCTAATTTTATCGATATTGTAGCAAATGTCTATCTAGTAGCTAAAACTTACACATAGACTACTGAGGAGAAGCGTAAGGGTCTTATCCAACTGTTGGTAGAGGTCTTTAAACAAAAAACAAAGAAATATTACCCTATTTCTTAAGTAACAGAAAGAAGATTATAATAAGTGAAAAAGTCTGACAGACAGACTAAAACACTCGGCCATTTTTATCCTAAGATGAAAAGCCGTGGTGCGTGTGACATTTAAATTAAAGAGGGTCTCCGTATAAAATATACCAGGTGTAAATGTTGAATAGGTCTTAAACAATGCAGATGATGACCTTCATGAGGCGATGGCGTGTGGGCTCCAGGCTGGTTAAGTGGCCTTTGTTCGGTATTGTACACATATCTAGACGTATACTTTCTTTTGTGACAAAGGAATGTTCAAGTGCTATCTACAGGTACCTAGGTGTAATTTTTGTAGAGGGCTATGGAGGCTTCTTATTGATGTACCTAATTATACCTAAGATGATTATGCCTAAATAGACGTTATTGGAAGTTAAATGAAATTTGGGAATAGAGACGTTGAAATGTTCCATCTAACAGTTGTAAGAAATAATATGAAATGTATTTGTTAAAGAAGTGCAAGTTGAGGGTGCGGGTTCGAAACCTACCAACGGCAAGTACCAATGTGACTTTTTCCGAGTTATATGTACTTTCTAAGATTATTTAGACACCATTAACAAACGGTGAAGGAAAAACATCGTGAGGAAACCTGGACTTATAATTTCTAATTATAAGTTTGAAATCGCCAACCCGCATTGAGCAAGCGTGGTGATTAATGCTCTAACCTTCTTCGTGTGAGAAGAGGCTTTGTTCAGCAGTGGGCATTTATAGGCTGTTGATGATGATGATGAAAGAAGTGCAAGTGCATTGGAAGTGGGACGTCAATTTTTTTAGATAGTATAATGACGATGATTCCTTTCTACAAGCACGTGCGTGAAGTGCGTATATGATTAAACTTAAAATAATGAATGAGCACAATGTTGGCAGTTCCAGTTATCTTCTTTCTGCTAACACAAACGACCTTTAGATAGTCCTCTATACCACTTCCGGGAAAACTGGCGATTCTCAAAGCGATAAACATTTAACTTAACTTGCCATTTTATATTTTACGCATTGTT